CAGGGTTCCAGGTCCCCTCCTCCTCGGCCAGGCCTCAGTTTCCTCACCCATAAAACAAGGGGAGTGAGATGAGGGCCAGACGAGGCCCCAGCCCATCTCCCCCTCTGCAGCCCCACCAGGACTAGTGAAGCGTCTGGTCTCTGCTCACCACTGAGTCAGGCTGTTCCCGCCTGATCACGGAGAAGGGAAAGGCCATCTGTCAGGCCTGACCATGCGCCCCTGCTGAGCCCGACACCAACACAATTACTGATGCCTCAGACAACCTATGAAGCCGCTGATGGCATCTCCATTTTACAGATGAGGAAACTGAGGCTCAGAGAGGTGAACTGCCACACAGCAAGGCTGTGGCAGAGCCACCAAGTCAGACTCCAAACTGCTCTCCCAGTACACACACCGACCCGCCCCCTGAAACTCATCCACCCATCCACCCACTCATTCACAGCTGCATGCACTCCACAGGTCTTCCGAGCATCCGTCAGGTCCTGGGCTCGTGCTAGCCAGGGTGGGCAGTGGTGATCGAATCAGGACATTCTCCCCGCCCTTGAGAAGGGCAGGCTCCACTGACAAAGCCCATTTCACGAGTTAACAAACCAGTCGGCAGATGCTAAAAACAAAGGAAGGTTGAGGGTGTTTTGGGGGAACACAGACAGTGGAGTCAGGAGCAGCTTCCTGGAGGAAGTGACATCTCAGTGAGACCTCAAGCTGAAGGGGGAGCAGGGGACAGGAGGAAGAGAGGGTATCTGGGCACAGGGACCAGCCCGAGCCAAGGCTAGGGGAGGCAGGAGAGCCCCCATCACCAGCACCGCCCCTCCACCGGGGGACCAGGCCTCAGGGCCTGACGCTGACTCCACTCAGGTCAAAAGGAGATGAGAAAAAATAACCCAACCCTCCCTTCCGCCTGGTGTCTGAGAAATCTAATAAAACTGCCAGCTCTTCTCAAGCCCAGATAAAAGGCGAAGGCGCTATTTCCATCTGTAATTACATTTGACTCACAAAATGGTCCCAAAAGGGCAGTGGGCCCCCGAGAGAGGCACCCAGTGAGGAGGAGCTGGGGCCCAGCATCCCCGGCTGAGCCAGGGCCCAGATGCTGCTCGGAGCCACCAATTTCCCAGCCCGCCAAAACAGAGATGAAAGATGCAGCCACTGACAGTCCATAATGGCCAGCGCTGGCTCTGGCCACACGCGCTGCACACACTCCCTCCCACCTGCAGCTGAGGAGGAGCCCCCACCCCACTCTCTCTCCCCGAAAGGACACCTGCTTGCTCCCCTCCTCCCTCGCAACAGCTGTTTCTCTAGTCAAGCGCACACCTGTTAATCTTTTTCTAATGGACCATCCATCACTCCTGCGAGCATTTTTCTGGGAGAGAGACAGTGAGCGGGAGAGAGAGACAGATAAATATAGATACAGTGAGTGAGAGACTAAGGGGGGAGGTACGTGGAGAGGGACAGGGCAGCCATTAGAGAGACGGGCAGAGAGAGACTCGAAAAGAGAGACGGACAGACAGACTCATATAGACACAGGGAGTGAGAAGCAAAGGCAAGGTGTGGAGAGACAAGACAGAGAGAGAAAAATAAAGATAAAAACATAGCGAGGGACCAAGATCATGACACTGTGTGTGAGTTAGAGACAGAGCCAGAAACTGAGAGAGCAGGCAGACAGACAGACAGGCAGAGACTGCAGACAGGTGGCTGGAAATGGCAAAGACCCATCCAATGGAAGAGGAGGTGCCAGGGGCAGAAAAACCAGTTAAGCCAGAGGCAGGAGGACAGAGGGCAGATGAGGGGCTGCCAGCGGGAGGTGAGGCCGGAAGCAGAGGGAGAGGGGTAGGGGCAGGACCAGCTCATCCCTGCCGGACGCCAGGCTTGGGAGGCCCGGCTGCCTGGCCTCTGACCATTTCTGCAGGGGCAGATAAGGGCCCAGTCAGGCAGGGGTCTCTAAGTTGCCCCTAGGAACCCCTGGAGCCCAGCGTCATCCCCATGATAATAATGGCAGCTGGTATTAAAGCATCTCCCATGTGCAAGGTAGCGCTAAGCACTTTCCATGAATTATCCGGTATGAGCCTCAAATATTACCCTATAGTATCCCCATTTTACAGACAGGGAAACTGAGGCTCAGAGAGGAGAAGCAACAGTCCCCGGCCATGGCCAAGCAGTGGTAGAATCAGATCTCAAACACTGGTCTCCTCCCTCCGGCCCACACCCTCGTCCTGCCATGTCCCAAGTGTCTTTACCTGCCCCACTTTTCTGACTTGAGGCTCCAGTTCACCACAGACACATCACTGCCCTGCTTACAAGCCTTCCAAAGCTCCCCACTGCCCTAAGGTTATATAAAGCCAGTCTCGAGACTTCATGAATAGACCCCCTCAGCCTCCTGGGCTGTTGGCCCTGCCCCAGGTGCACATCCTCCTTGAAGACTCAGGGTCTTACATGGGAATGTGTATGCTCCCGGTGCCTGCTTCTGGCCCTCCTGTCTCACTAATGAAATCTGAGTCATCCTTCAAGATCCATCTCCTGTGTCACCACCTCCAGGAAGCCTTCCCCAACCGCAGCTCATGTTGGTGTCTCTCTCCCCTAAGCCCTCACGGAGCTGGAATGTAGGGCACTAAGCCACTCTATCTTCCTCTTCCCGGAGTCACCCCAGACCTGGGTTGGCAGTGACTTGATGGAGCTGCTGAAAAGAGAATAAAGCCTACTTGACCCATCCACTGATTTGAAGGCCCTGAATGCTGTCTTCTGGGAGCTGGAGAGAGTGGACTTGCCCCAGCCAGGGTCAGCCCTTCCCTACAGAGGCTCCTTGCACCCCTGCCCTGCTACCCACTCAGCCTGACCCTCTTTTTTGTTGTCCAACTTGGTCACCATCCTCTAGCTCTAGGACAGCATTGCCCAGCTCAGGAGGAGAGGGGTGCGCTCAGACAGCCTGCTCCCAGGAGCAGTGCCTCCCCACCCACCTCCCGCCGGCTCTGTGCAACCTCCAACTCAACCTCCAACTCAATCTCCGTATCTGAGAGCCCAGTGCTGACAGCTGCTCACCATGTCACACTGGGCAAGCCAGTCCACTTCTCTGAGCCTGTTTCCCCGTCTGCCCAGTGGGGACAAGACGTTCACCCTGCCTGCCCCAGAGGGCTGCCGTGAGGCTCACACAGGGAGGAGACGTGCAACACATCAGATGATGATGGAGGAATCTGGCTGCCCAAGTCGACCCCATCTACCTGTCTGTCACAGACTGTCCTGGGCCCTACACCCCAGGGCTATGCAGGGTGGGGGGCCAACTTCGGCACCATCTGACCACCTCATGGGTCACACAAAGGCCCCTGCTTGGCTGACCCCCACTTTCCCCTGTCACCTCCTCCCAGGCCAGTGCCTGCAAGGAACATATGTGGCCACAAGGACCCTGGTGACACTCCCTTGTGATTTTGGCAGCAGCGACCACCTAAAGGCCATGGGCTCCCACAATCTCAACTCTCATTTGAGTGCTTGTGACTCCAGAGACAGGGGTGGCCACACTTCGCAGCAGGAGAAAGACAGCAGCCACCTGCCAGCCCCCACCTCACCACCTGCCGCCCCCCACCTCACCACCTGCCTCCCCCACCTCACCACCTGCCTCCCCCCACCTCACCACCTGCCAGTCCCCCACCTCACCACCTGCCGCCCCCCACCTCACCACCTGCCAGCCCCCCACCTCACCACCTGCCAGCCCCCCAACCCAGTGGCCACACTAAGCTCCCTGCAGGCAGGTTGTGCAGCCGGGGTAGGGTGGGGCAGCCAGGGTAGGGTGGGGCCCCCAGGATGCCTCCCCTCTGCAGTCACCTCCCCCGCAGGAGAGGGGCAGTATACAATCACGTCTCTCCTGCTCCTCCCCTTCCATCCCTGCCCCCCAGACAGCCCTGAGCCACCTCTCTCCGCAGGCACCCCTCAGATGAGGCTGCTCAAAATAAACTCGGGGGCAGTCCGCTCCCTGCCAGCAGCGTCTGGGAGCGGGGGCTGCGGAGCAAAACTACCCTTGGCTTACGAGCAGGCCCTGCGCAGAGCTCGGTCAAACAATGCTGCCACTCCGAGCCGCTTTAAAGAGAACATTTTTTAAATTCTTCCTCCCCCTCACTTTGTCTTTAATTAATAATTTTTTGAGACTCCAGATGGCATATAGGAAGCTCACTCCAAGAGTGGTGGTGTAAGGCTCCAACAAAAAATTAGAAAATTATTCTTAACTAGTGAGGACCTACTATGCACCAGGCTTCTTGATGCATTTAACCCTCCCTCTGGAAGGAGGGTCCGTGTGACCATTTACAGATGGGGACAGTGGCTGAAGGAGGCCAGGCGACTTGCCCAAGGCCTCCCTGCTGGTCGACAGCAGAACCAGGGACGGAGCCCAGACCTTGAGCTGATGGAGTTCAGTTCTCTGGCAGTGACCTTCAGAGTGCGAAGGGGGTGGAGGTAATACCTGCGCTTAGTAGGTGATCAGTATATGGGAGCTGATCCCTATGAAGAAAAGGGCATGAAGTTAGGGCACCTGCTCATGGATGAGGAGGCCAGGGAGGGTCCTGTGAAGCAGCAGAGCCTGGCCAGTGAGGGCAGCCTCTCCCAGACCAGCCAGGGGACAGGGGTACCTGCGGGGCCAGAGAGGCGGCTTCCCCATATGGAGGCTGAAAACCTTGCTCAGTAGGATGTGGCAGGAGTGAGGGGGGCCAGGCCAGGGAGGGAGACCCTGAGGAGGCTTGAGCAGGGACTGTGGCCTGGCCTGAGGCTGACGCTGCAGATAGAGAGAGAGAGGCTGGACCAGCGAACGGAGCAGCACTGGCTGCCGTGTTGCCTTGGGAGGATGGCTGAGAAGGCAGGAGCCAGCAGTACGCTGGCAAACAGGCCTCTGAAAAATAGCCCTGATTTGCAACATGTGCCAATTTCTATGGTGTAAATACTCCCACCACGGCCAATTTCAAGCTACCAACTGTTTTTAACAACGGGTTTGCCAAATCCTTGAGTATGAGAAAATTGGCTCTTGCAAGCTAGTTCCACAAGCCACTGGCAGGGACAGGGCTCAAGTTCTGGTGCAGCAGGATGGTGATGGACACCCTTGGTGCTGCCCCACCCAGAAGCTAGAGCCAGTATCCCAACAGCACCGGTTCCCTGTGGGGCTCTCCCTGGGGACACAGGCCCAGCCAGGCCTCTGGCCCCTGTCTGACCTGGCCAGGCGAAGGCCAGAAGGTGGGACCCTAGGCCAGGGGGTCTGGGCTGCCGGTCTCACCAGCTTCACCCTGCAGAGAACCTTCCCCCAGCCCTCCCCAAGACATTTTTAATTAAGCTGGAATGGCAGGCAAACCGGCAAACAGGCAGCTCTGAGCAGAGTGGTGGCAGCCCCAGGGGCCGCATTTCAGTAAATTGAATAGAGCCTGTGTCTGGCGAACTGATGAACAGGGAAATGAGAGTGTGGCCCACCCCCGGGCACAGCGGGCGGCCAGCCCTGCAGAAAGAGGGCCACAGGGAAGCAAAAGGGGGGCGTCGAAAACCAAAACCCTGTAGGGCGTCAGTCTTGCCACACAAAGATGTGGGTTCAAATCTGACCCCTGTCTGGCTGTGAGATCTTGGGCTGGAGATATCCCCTCCTGGGGCCTCAGGGTCACCAGCTGCCAGATGCAGAGCCTCACAGGGCTGCAGTGCAGGTTAGGGGAGGGCCCCCCACCTAAGGGCTGGGGCACAATGGGAGCCAGAAAATGATGTTATTCCAAATGAAGCCAGGGCTGGATTTGTCAAAGCTGTCACCCCAGGTATGACCCATGGACTAGGGACATCTGTGCTAACCCCTCACAGGTCTCCATCCTGTGTCCCCACAACAGCCTCCTTCCCTGCTGTACACACCTTCCCTGTGCTCCTGCCACCTCCCAGAAGCTGTCCCCTCCCCCACGTGCTATCCCCCCCTTGGGGACCCTTTCTCTGAACTCATCTCACCTCTGAACCCCAGCAGTATCCCTGATGGCCCAGGGGGCCTGGGACACACCATTCTACTCAGCCAACACCTTCCCTGCACCCCGTGCACCCAGAGTTGAGGACAGAAGCAACCACAGGTTTGGCCAAGAAGGGAGATGGGGGGCAGCCTCTGCAGGGCAGCCTCGGGGCTGAGGTGAGGGGGAAGTTAGGGGGTGCGTCAAGGACAGGAGGGCGCCCCACCTGCTGCAGGTACACTGTGGGCAGAGCACGAGAGGCCTTGAATATCAGTGGAAAAGTCTGCATTTCATGCCAAGGGCAATGGGGGCTGTGGAGGTTTGGGGGCAGGGGAGATCCCAGCCTCTGGAAAGATCAGTCCAGCTGTTTTGGAGACAAGAGACAAGCAGGCTTATGTGGAGGGGTGGTGAATGGAAGTTAGGATTTGGCAGGGACTGGCAGGGAGTGGGCTGTGGGTGCCTTGGTTTCCAGGCTGAGACGCTTTGAGGGAACAGAACTGGAACCCCTCGTTCTCACCCTGAGTAGTCACTTGGTCACTCATTCACCCTGAGCTCGGCCTCCTCTGTGGCTGGCCCTGGGCCAGGCACTGAGGCCACATGGATGAATGGGACAGAGGCCGGGGGGAGACAGACAGAAAGTGAGTGTTGGACAGACCCGGGCTGCCCAGGGCCCTCCTGCGCCTGCGTGCCAGCCCACGCCCCGTGCCCGCCCCCACTGGCCTGCTGGTGGTGCTCGATGCCCATGCTGACGGTGTTGACCAGGATGGCCATCATGATGCCCCGGTTGAAGTACTTGCTGTCCACGATGCCCCGCAGCTTGGCTCGCGTCTCCCGCCACACGTCTCCGCACAGCCCGGCAGCCCCGTCCGCCTGCTCCTCCTCGTCCTCCTTCCCCAGGTCCGAGGAGGTCCCGTCCTCACTGCTCCGGGCCCTGTCTCCGTCAGCTTCATCCTCGCCGCCACCCGAGCCCCCAGAGCCCGAGCCCTCCTGGCCCGAGTCGCTGCTGCCCAGGCCCGAG